TGGTTAAGTGCGCGGACTCTAATCTGGGAGAACCGGGTTTGATTCCCCACTCCTCCACTTGCACCTGCTGGGTGACCTTGGGCAAGCCATAGTTCTGGTCAGAGCTGTCCTTGAGAAAGAGCAGTTTCTGTCAGAGCTCTCTCAGCCCCACCTACCTCACAGGATGTCTGTCATAGGGAGGGGAAGGGAAAGGAGTTTGTAAGCCGCTCTGAGATTCCCTTGGGTAGTGAAGGGCGAGGTAGAAATCCAATCTCCTCCTCCTCCTCTTCTTCCCTGCCAACTTTGATCTCAGACAAAAGAGAATCAGTGAGCATCGGAGAGGCACAGGACTCCCATCACAGGTGGGATACGAAATCCCCATGTTATCCCCCTCCCCCAAACACAAGGACTTTGCCGTAGGTAGATGGAGCCTTAGTTCAAGGTTAGCATTATAGGGATTTGTGTTTGTGTGATATGGCATAAATGCTATCATCCTAAAAGGGAAAAAAAATATTAATTATATCTTCCCTGCAAGCCTAAAATGGTTGATTTCTAAAATCTCTAGCGAGGCCAGAAAAATCATGTCTTCTGAGATAAACAGGGCACTTTCATATGCTCCAAGGCACATTTCCAAAACAGGAGGAAGATAAATGAGCATCAGGGCTGGAAACTTGACTGAACAGACCTGAACAACAGATTGTTTACAGAAGAAGAAAATGTATCTGCTTCTGCTTTTCTTTTGTGCAAATCACTGTTGTGGGATGTGTACAGACTATCCGGTGGCATTATGCAAACATGACAATAGGATCCTTTGTCACGGTCTGCATAAAAATGATCTGATTTTGCACGTTTCCTCCCTTCTTCCTCTTTTGCAAGCAAGATGCAGGAGAGGAAAAATATGATGATGCATCGGTAATTCCTTAAGAGCATCCCGCACTTCAGGTTTGATATTGCTATCATTGAAATGTGAAATAATAAAATACACAGGGATATATATATATGTATATATTTGCGAATACCAGCAGGTTCTTTGAAGAGTAACCCCCCGTAGGATTACCAAGGTATGGGTTAGGCTGACATTCAAGAGAAGGCTTTTAGTGAGTTCTAATCTGGAAAGGTGCATCTGAATGCCTTTGATTATCCATAAGGCAAGGGAAGGTTCCCAAGCTAGCCTGATCTCATCAGATCTTGGAAGCTAAGCAGGGTCGGCCCTGGTTAGTATTTGGATGGGAGACCACCAAGGAGGTCCAGGGTTGCTATGCAGAGGCGGGCAATGGCAAACCACCTCTGAATGTCTCTTGCCTTGAACACCCTACAGGGTCATCATAAGTCAGTTGTGACTTGACGGCACTTTCCACCGCCCAGGGAAGATTCTGGTTTTGACAAATAAAATGTATTGGGTTGGATCCAACCAACTTTTCTGCTAGTGAAAAGGGAAGGAGGGTTCTTCTGAGACTGCCAAAAAAGGCCATGCGGAGAATAATGGGACCTACGTGCTATGCTTCCCTCTAAGCTGTGGAGTCTGGTGAGCAAAAATTCTACTCTGTGAGCCACTGGCATTAAAGTTGTGCACAAGCGATTTGGCTGCTGCATAAATGAGTTTGCTCTGGAGCCATCCTTCCTAAGACAAAAATGTGTGAGCCGGAGGCTAAAAAACTGTGAGCTAGCTCACACTAACTCAGCTTAGAGGGAATGCTGTTTGTGAGCTCCTGGCATTAAAGTTGAGAGTGAGCGATTTGGTTACTGCATAAATTAGTTTGCTCTGGAGCCATCCTTCCTGAGCGAAGACAAAAATGTGTAACCCAGAGGCTGAAAAACAGTGTGGTAGCTCACACCAGCTCAGCTTAGAGGGAACACTGCCTACATGTACAAAAGCCACCAGCGACAGGGTTTGTAAGTTCAGTTCGATTTATTGCATATGGCCAATGGCCGTTACAAGTACAGTACGGGTTTGTAAGTAAGGAGCACAATTGGGCCAGACTGAATGGCTTAACTGGCTGGATCCAAACCATTCGGCTTTTAATTTATTTTGAACTAACAGAGTGAGGAAGGTGCTATTGGTCTGAATTTAGCATTCCCTGGTTTTTGGTAAGTTTGTCAACAAGCTATTTTCTTGAATACTGAGATGTCAGGTTTAAATTTGACATCAGATTTAAATCAAAGTCCAGTTCTATGTTTCACGTTTAACCCCACAGCATTTTCAAGCCAGGGAGGAAAAGTGCAATGTGCTCTTTGACCTTTGGAGTGGTCAGAACACTTACAAGCTGATAGCCTCCTGCAGGTAGGGGAGGGAAGAATTAAAGTCAGATCATGTGCATCTCAGGGCTCCCTCCAAGATACTGCAAATTGTTAAGAGATCGATTTTAACATCCTCCTTGTTCCCACCATTTAACTGATGCTCATACGGAAAGGAAAATGAACATGAGCAGTGCAGATCGTCCGTTTTTTTTTTAAAAAGGCAACTTTTAAAATCTATAAACTAAATTTCCCCCGGTATATTTAAGGGTTCCCCCCCCCAACTATGCCAAGCCCATTATCTTGAGTGTGGGTGGGCCCATTGTGTTGCCCTAGTCGGAATTATCGCACCAGCAATGTTTTGATTAGGAGTGATATGATATTTCCCTGGAAGATGATCAGAACAAAAGTAGTGTGTGATCAGACAACAGCCCTACCTACAAATTGCAAGACTGTCGCTCCCATAGTCAATTATATGGAGGTCTGATCACGGACAGTTGTTATTACAACCCAGAAGATCATTGGCTGCCCTCTCCCATTCCTGGAGGAATTGTATAGTTCTCGATGTTTGAAAAAAGCAAAGACCATTTTGCAGGACTTCTCACATCCTGAACATTCCCTGTTTGAACTGCTGCCTTCGGGCAGAAGATACAGGACAATTAAAGCAAGGACAAATAGATTAAAAAATAGTTTTTATTCGAGAGCTATTATTGCCTTAAATGCTGTGTGAAATTGGAATTTGGGTGACATTGGTGGTTTTAAGTTGTTATGTGAACCTTAAGGGAGCTATGGGACAGTAGTGAATGGTGTGTGAGTGTATATGAATATTGTTGTAGATCACCGAAATGATTGCATCTTTAATTTCGTTGTACTATGTACAATGACAATAAAGTATATGATGATGATGATGATGATGATGATGATGATGATGATGATGATGATGATGATGATGATGATGCTTTGTACTGAATCAGACCCTTCATCCATTATGTTCAGTAATGTCCAGGGGTGGCCAAACTTGCTTAATGTAACAGCCACACAGAATAAACCTCAGATGTTTGAGAGCCACAAGACATTAACAAATATCACACACACATTTTTATTGAAAAAATATGCACATTTGCTTTTTATTAACATTAAATTAAGCTGTGTGAAAGAGCCACATGCGGCTCCCGAACTGCAATTTGGCCACCCCTGGTATTGTCTAATCAGACTGGCAATGGTTCTCCAGGGTCACAGGATGACGTCTTTCACACCACCCTGATCCTTTAAACTGAAGATATCAGGGATTGAACCTGTGAACCTTCTACATGCCAAGCAGATGCTCTCCCACTGAGCCATGGCCCTTCCCTAAAATCTGAACCAGACCTAAGATATGGAAGGAACAGGAAGTGTGAGATGTGCACTTCCTGCCCTCTCTCCTTTTGCTTCACATATGAAGTTGCTCTACTGATCTCTGGACCTCATTTTCAATGGCAGGACGTATCAAGGGAATGCAAGAGAGTCCTTCTAAACATGCACACAGTAGCTTCATCACTGAATGTCAACCTATCTAAAAGTAGACACTGGACTTCCCAACCAGAGTGCACAGCATTTGAGAAATTATCCACTGACCATCAGAACAGAAACAAGATGGCAACAACAAAGAGAAAAGAATTCATAGTAAGGCTGGGAATAAGAAGAAAAAGGGTAGATGGAGAAAGACTGTTTTCGCAACATTAAAACCCGAGCTTACAGAAATGACAGCAAGACCCGGGGGGACTCTACATAACCCCCTGGTCAGCAACAAGAAATGGGAAGTAAGCCAAAATGATGTGAATATTGATGAGGTAGTTAAAATAGAGGATAGTGTTTCAAGTGTAGTAATGCCTCATCCCCGAAGGCTCACATCAATACGGCTCATGTTACTACACCCAACCAAGTTGAGTCTTTTGGATTTCAACTGATTTAGCCCAACTGCAAAACCAGTTAAATTGTCTTTTTTTAAAAAAATAAATAAACACAACTGCAACACAACAATGATGACATTCCACCTTTAGCCTACCTGGGGTGTTCAGCAACCTCGACAGCTTACAGAAGTAGGAGACGAACTGCTCACAATACTCGGCACTGCTGGTGATGGCAGAGATCTGGTCCATGGTGAGATGTGCACTTCCTGCCCTCTTTCCTTTTGCTTCACATATGAAGTTGCTCTACTGATCTCTGGACCTCATTTTCAATGGCAGGACGTATCAAGGGAATGCAAGAGAGTCCTTCTAAACATGCACACAGTAGCTTCATCACTGAATGTCAACCTATCTAAAAGTAGACACTGGACTTCCCAACCAGAGTGCACAGCATTTGAGAAATTATCCACTGACCATCAGAACAGAAACAAGATGGCAACAACAAAGAGAAAAGAATTCATAGTAAGGCTGGGAATAAGAAGAAAAAGGGTAGATGGAGAAAGACTGTTTTCGCAACATTAAAACCCGAGCTTACAGAAATGACAGCAAGACCCGGGGGGACTCTACATAACCCCCTGGTCAGCAACAAGAAATGGGAAGTAAGCCAAAATGATGTGAATATTGATGAGGTAGTTAAAATAGAGGATAGTGTTTCAAGTGTAGTAATGCCTCATCCCCGAAGGCTCACATCAATACGGCTCATGTTACTACACCCAACCAAGTTGAGTCTTTTGGATTTCAACTGATTTAGCCCAACTGCAAAACCAGTTAAATTGTCTTTTTTTAAAAAAATAACCACAACTGCAACACAACAATGATGACATTCCACCTTTAGCCTACCTGGGGTGTTCAGCAACCTCGACAGCTTACAGAAGTAGGAGACGAACTGCTCACAATACTCGGCACTGCTGGTGATGGCAGAGATCTGGTCCATGGTGGTGTTGTAGTTAAGGGCCAGTGAAGCGTGCTTCTCTGGCTTGTTGCTCACCACTGAGGACTGCATCGGCAGGTTATGATTCACGATAGTCCACACTTTGTCCTCTGGAAGAAAAAATAAAGAAAACCCACCATGGATGTTCAATGAATTCTGGCACTTTTAAGAGGAGGTGTTGTATTGTTATTAAGCATGCCACTAGTATCAGAGGCGTGTTGTCTGAGGCTGTGGTAGGGAAGAGTTTCCACAGGACAGAAGATGTGTACTATTTCTTTTTTATTTACTGGCAAAATTTATATCCCAGATGTCTGCCCCCTCAGGGCCACCAAGGTGACTAACAATTAAAAATATAGCATTAAAACACACAAGGTAGCTATTTCTTTTTATAACAGCTGTGTGTCTAAGAAAGGTGACAGGACTATATCCTAAATTCTTCTCCTTGGCCTCGGCCATACGGGAAGGAAAATGCGGGGGGGAGGTGTGGCTGTTTGCCCCGGAGCAATCAGCCGTCGGGTTGAGGTCCCGTCGAGCTCCCGTGGTTAGGGGGGAGGTGCCGATCACAGATGCGGCAAAGAAGCGGAGCGGCGCGGCAAACGGGGTTGTGTTTTGTTTTTAAAACTGAAATGTGCGCATGCTCCATTGGGTGCTTGTGCGCATCCGTGGAGACTTGGGGGGGAAAACACCTTTTTGCGAGGGGACATGGGCGGGTGCTGGAACTACCACCGGAAACGCGATCAGACGCCCGCCCTTGCCCTGCGGTTTCAGGAAACTAGTACCTCCGAGGTACTAGTTTTTTACCCCGCATCTTCGGCGGGAAGCTTCGGGTGCGCCACGGGAGCTCTACACTTCCCAGATGTGGCGGTGAGATCATGCCCGGAAAATCCGCCTATCTTCCGTCTCTCTAGCGTACCTAATGCTCCGTGTGACCGGGGCCCTTCAATAGCTATGGGAGCATGTCCCCTTCTCGTCTTGAATTTTAGGCTGGATGGAGTTGGGAAGGGGTTATTTTTGGTGAGTTTTTATACTAAGAATCACTATTGCAAGACCTCCAGGACACTGATGGCTTACTTTTTAGAAAGGTCACTTTTCAGGGGCAAGTCCTAGACCAGGGGTGTCAAACTCATTTGTTATGAGGGCCAGATCTGACAAAAATGGGACCTTGCTGGGCTGGGCAATGTGTGTCATAAAATGCAATGTCAGGTAGCGGAGATATAAACTTTATAAAGGACACAAACACAAAGGGTTTTTTTTAACTTAAAATAAAAACATGCTTAAAACTTTAGCACTCTTGCAATATTTTGTTCATTTAACAGTGTCTGACACCTCTTGCTCTGAATTATTGTCTGTGCTGTTGCAATCTTGAGTATGCTGTTCAGGTGTGCATCCGTAAGTTGCAAACCTATGATGATGCAGCAGCAGCAGAACTGGAAGAAGAAGCAGAAGACAGCCAGTTCCACTGTGGGCCTGACGGAAGCCCTCTGGGGGCCTGATCCTGCCCCCGGGCCGCATGTGTGACGCCCTTGCCCTATCCGGCCCCCGGGCCGCATGTGTGACACCCCTGCCCTAGACAAACACCCAAGGGTCTGCTTTGGGTGCCACTGCCTTCTGTGGTAAGATGTGTGGCAACCTGATTTAGGGCCCACTTGGTCATGACGACAACAAAATCATGAAACTCCCTCGCCAGAGACATTTCTTTGTTCCTTTCTTCTGCCACCAAGTGAAGGATTCTTGTTTTGTCTGGCAATCCCTCAGTGACCTCTCCTTCCTGCCCCTTTGTTCCATGCTTTTATAGATGTATTCTGGTTTTGCCTTTATGGTGTGTTTTAATGCTATGTTTTTAATTGTTAGCCGCCTTGGTGGCCCTGAGGGGGTAGGCATTTGGGATATAAATCTTGTCAGTAAATAAATAAATGACTTGGAATGGGGAGCAGCTGGAACAGCCATGAGAGAGCAGGAAGGCAACGCTTGATCGGGCTGCTTCATGCCCTGGGCAGAGGAGATGTAAGAAACTGTAAGAGCACCGTGAAGCAACCTAACTACCAGTATATCGCGTATGTTAAACCAACGCATAGTGAATTAATAACAGGGGTTCCATAGAATTCATAAACTTATAAGGTAGAAGATATCAGAACGTATTATCCAAGACATGGACAATCCAAAAAGGAATCGGCATCAACAGTTCGAGAACCACCTAATGATGTGTACATAATACAAAATAAAGACCATTTCGAGAAGACCCTTTTAAGAATGTTGTGCCCAGTTTAAATTATGAAGCAGAGCATTTGTGAGTGATAGGAGGCAGTGGTATTGTTCCGTTATTTAATATGCCCTTCTGATAAGTGGAATCTGACCAAATCAATAGCAGGTTGCCAGCTCTTGAAAAAGGGGCTTCTCGAAACGGTCGTTATTGATTGTCGGGATTTGGTCAGCTGCTCCCTCTAAGCTGTGGAGTCTTGTGAGTGAAAAATCTACCTTGTGAGCATTAAAGTTGCGAGCGAGCGATTCAGCTACTGCATACATTAGTTTGCTCTGGAGCCATCCTTCCCCAGCTAAGACAAAAATGTGTGAGCTGGAGGCTAAAAGACTGTGAGTCAGCTCACACTAACTCAGCTTAGAGGGAACACTGCTGATGATAGATTTCTGCTTGAAGTCCTTGTTCTAAGCACCATGGGAGATCTACCTGGAGGACTTCATGCTTGTATGTTGTGTATTATGTACTCATCCTTAGGTGATCCTTGAACTGTTGACATTGATTGCTTTTTGGATTGTTCATGCCTTGTATAGTATGTTCTGATATCTTCTACCTTATATGTTTATAAATTCTACTGAATCCCTATTTTTAATTCACTACATGTTAGATTAAATTGTTTTATCATAGCATATGCAATATATTGTTAGCTTGCTTCACAGTGCTTCTACAGTTTTTAAATACCATCTAAGACAGGAGGGCCTGGCGTGATCTTGTCCATGGGGTCGCGAAGAGTTGGACTCGACTGTGCGACTGAACAACAAAAACTGTGGTCCCCATTTGTATGTTGCTGGATAGAGGAGAAGCTATCTGGTGGGAGTCTCCAGCCCAACCATGGGTGAAAAAAGGATGGCTGCTCTGGCACCCATCAGTCTTCAAGAAGCACAGGTAGCAACCTGGCACTCACCAGAAGTAACAGTGGGGTTTCCATGGCAGTACCACCAACACAGGACAAGTCTTGCAGGAAGAGGGAGGAGGAAAGAAGGAGCCTCTGGGTTTAGCTGGGTATCTGATACCTTAACTGGGCAGATGGAAGAGGACACTTCTGGCATTCCGTGACAGCCAAAAGATGGAGAATATGGACAGAAGGATAGGCAACAGGATGAAGCCAACCCCTTTCCTTCTCATTTGAGGTCACCAAAGGGTAGATAGGCAACAAGGACATTGGGAGGCCACCACAGTCAAAGAAAGCTCTGCTGATGGGACCATCCAGCTTTTTCAGATGACGTACTGACTGGCAGTGCAACCTTAGGAACATTTCCCTGGGAGTTAGCCTCATTGAGTAGATCTGAGTTCCTAACAGAGCTGCTGAGAATTGCCCTCTCCTGAAGTCTTTGCTCATAGATTGCTTAGCATCCACAGCCCGACCTTAACACCCAGGGACTACTCGCATTCCACATCTAGGGTAGAAATGATTATTCTCCCTTCAGCCAAAATGGCTAAGGCTTTCGCTTCCCTTCTACGGTGTTGTGTCTATCTGAGTTTCTCTCACTAATCCTCCTTGATCTACTGCTTCTGCTTCTGACAACGCAACTCAGCCTCAGGCTACAGTTATGGAGGAACTCCCTCTCATGGGACGCCTATTTGACCTGGTTGCTCTGGCTGGCTGCTTTCCAAAAAAGAAGTGTGAAGATGTTCCTTGTCAACCAGGCAAACGCGACAACGGTCTCAAGCAGCGCTGAGTCCAACTGCTCTTTATGACAGTCTTATCATTGCTTTTTTAATGTTTGGTGGTAATTCAGTGTTTCAGGCATTTGTAACTGACTTCAGGTCTATACTCTAAGGAAAGTGGACTACAGATGTAATAAAACAGCAAAATAGTAGTTGTCACAATGAACATGATGAGTGCAGTTAGAAGGATCACATGTTGCAAATATCTCAGGGTTGTGTAGTTTTGAGTGGGCAAGGCCACCCAGTGTCAAAGGTGGTGGCAGATTTAGCCCTTACTACAGCACAGGCCCGTAGCCAGGATTTTGTGGGTTGTGGGACAATTTTTCCCCCCTGGTGGGGCTGAAGTTCTCAGTGCAGAAAGAAAAGCCATTGAGCCACTAGAAAGCTGTTACCAGGATAGATCTCTAAATTGCAAGCTGTCAACCACTTTAGATGACAGTACACAGCTGCTGCAAGTTAATCACTTCTGCCAGCCTAAGCAACAATTCTGAGAACAAGCCGGCAGGTGGGGGTGATGACTTCCCTAGTCAAGAAAGCTTAACACTTAGGCAGAAGAACTCTCTTAAAGGAGACCAGTTTCTTGACACAGGGTCAGAAGGGACGCTAGAGGTCTCCTACTCCAACTCTCTTGCTCAACGTGGGAATGAGTCAACTACAGCACCCTACTCTGCTTGAAGGAGTGCACACCTTTTAAAAAATGTTTTAAAATGACTGGGGGGAAAGTATTTAATGGAGAAATTCTTGTTGGGCTGTGCCTTTAAGAAAGGAGGCAGAGCCCCCAAAAGTCCCACCATAGCTACAGGCCTGCTACAACACTGCCCCCAAATAGATAACTTCTGTATAAAGAACTGGCAGCAATTAACTTCCACGATAAAGTTGTATAGTCAGGAATACTTTTGTGCTGGAGGCAAACAGTGCCATCCTGGACATTCCATGGGCTTGGCAGTGTGTTACTTTGCCTAGGATGGCCCCTGCAGATCTCTTTTGTGGCCCCCCCCCCCCCCCGAGATTCAAGCCAGCTCCTATCTGCATTGTCCATTCTGACTTCTGTTTCTTGGTTAAATTAAAGCGTGACAGAATACCGGGAAATGAAGAAGAAGAGATTGGATTCATACCCCGCCCTTCATTACCCAAAGGAGTCTCAGAGCGGCTTACAATATCCTTTCCCTTCCCTTCCCCACAACAGAC